CAGCAGCGGGTTATCTCTCAACGATGTCTTAATGGTAGGTCCAGTCATCCAACAAGACCTGGTGTCTATTTTAATAAGGTTTCGAACGTTTCGATATGTTATCGTAGCCGATATCATTAAAATGTATTGACAAATATTAGTGCACCCCTCACAGACTGGTTTACAGAAGATTCTATGGCGAGAGAGTTCTACCGACGAAGTTATCACTTACGAATTGCTCACCATAACGTATGGCACATCTACAGCGCCATACTTAGCCACTAGGTGTCTCGTTCACCTCGCTAACCTATTTTCTTCAAGGTATCCATTAGGAGCGAAGCACCTCATTCGGGACTTTTACATAGATGACATGCTTACGGGAGCAGATACCGTCAAAGAAGCAAGAATCATACGCGATGAGGTGATTGAATTATTACGAGAAGGAGGTTTCGAACTAGATAAATGGGCATCCAATTGTCCCAGCTTGCTCGAGGGCCTAGGCAATCAAAACGATAAATTAATTACAATTAGCAATGAGATCGAAGCTTGCATTCTCGGTGTTCAATGGAATCGAATCGAAGACACCTTCCACTTTCATTGTGAACCCGCGTCGGCTTCTACAATTTCCAAACGCAGCATTGTATCCGAAACCACGAGAATATTTGATCCATTAGGATTGTTGGGCCCAGTCATCGTTATCGCCAAGCTCATTGTTCAGGAGTTGTGGCAGATAGGTATTCAATGGGGTGAATCTGTCCCTCCAGACATTCATACGCGCTGGACCATGTTCAGATCACAATTGGTGGTTCTCAATCAGCTGGAGATTCCTCGCGCGGTCAAGTTTGATTCCAACTCGCGGTCGATGCAAATACATGGGTTTAGTGACTCTAGCCAAAGGGCATATGATGCTTGTGTGTACCTCCGCACGAAGTTAAGGCCACATGAGTATCGAATAGAATTATTGTGTTCCAGGTCAAAAGTCGCTCCGCTTAAGGCGGTGTCTCTACCACGGCTTGAGTTGTGCGCAGCTTTGCTATTAGCTCGTCTCATGTCAAAGGTTGGTGAAGCAATACAGTTGGAGCATTCGAGGAGGTTTTGTTGGTCAGATTCCATGATCACACTCAATTGGATAGGCTCGCCATTTCGGAAGTGGACACCTTTCATGGCAAATAGAGTTGGCGAGATACAGCGACTCACGGATTTCAAAGACTGGCGCCATGTCAGCTTATCAAATAACCCCGCCGATGTTCTGTCGCGTGGACTAAATCCCAACGAATTAATCAATAATGCTTCGTGGTGGCACGGACCCTCTTTTTTGCGACACAACGATGACCTATGGCCGGGCGGAAACATCATTCAACCACGGGAGAATCTACTAGAGTTGAGGATGGTATCTTCAGTTGTGACTTCCACGGGTG